AGTTGGAAGAAACCCGTAATGCCCCTGTAAAGACCCGTGAGTCTACCATTTTTGCAAGAAAACTCACCCTGCCACTGCCGAGTTTGCCCTTCCTCGGTGACACCGTGGAAACCTGCTGGATCCGCCGCCACCTTCCTCTCCCACTCCCCCCTCATCTCACCGCTGTCGGAGCAGCATGATGGCGAAGCCCGTGCAGTCTCCTTTTTCTAGAAACACCTATAACTTTATTGATCATAACAATTATAGGTACACTGATTGGAGCTAAGATCCAAGAAAATACGAAGTAACTCTTATGACTAAGAATTACGATGAAATCTCATGTAAACACCTTCTTCGCTATAGCAATCTCTACTCGAAGAAATACTCTAAAGACTTTGGTAAAGAGGTTGCAATTGGACTGGAGCAACGATGTTGTCACTTTTTCACCCCCACGAACACTACCAATAATGGTTTTTGAAAGCGCCTTAAGTCACCCATCCTAAGAGATGGGAAGTCTTGATCGATGAATGTACTTGGGTCGGGGATGATCCCCTAGAAGTGCATGTCATCAAATCACTATATCTTCACCATGGTGTTGATGAAAATTGATTTCACCTCCACAAAGAATCATACCAACAAAAAAGGCTTGGCGCAGCAACATAAACTCATCATATCCGAATAATCGGGTCTGTGAGGACAGAAAACTCTCTAACCTCCCGGCACCGCCAAAAGAACGAGAGGAAATTTATTCTCACAAAACTATGATGATCACTGGACAATGGTGGAGAACATAGAGGTCTTGAAGATCCGAGGTCTCCCTCATACTACCAAGATTGCAGCCGAAGGCGAGGGGACCTAAATTTCTTAGATGACGGCGGCGGCGGCAGGAGAAACCCTATGGATGCGTTCCTCCTTTGTTTATGCACGCTAGAGAATCATTACATTGGATTTTTTAGGGGCTGAACCAAGCTTTATCACTCAACGTCCACATAAGGTGGAATACAAAAGAGTTCATGGGGTTGGCCTAACCAGACATGGTGCCCCTGATCAAGAGAATGTGCATACTTAGCTAACCTGTCAGCATAAATATTTGATGCTCTACCTTCAAATAAAAAAATTACAGACCCTCCCGCACTGCCTCCAGGGGAGGCTCGGGTGAACCCTAGCCGCCTCTGCCCCCGACTCTCCTCCCCTCTCCTCTCCCCACTGCTGCCGGAGGAGGCCAGCGAGCATAGCTTGCTTGGCTGATAGCGGGTGGCAGGCTCACCTCCGTACCTCGCGAGGAGGCCTCTGATTGTAGCGCGACGACACGCGGAAGCGGGATGTTGGGACAGCGACTCCAGGGGACTCCGGCGGTGGCCGTGCCGCCACGGCTGTAGGGGCATCAATGGGGTGGCCTTGGTGGCTGGTGGGGATGGATCTCGGGCATCCGGCCCAGATTCGGTTTCCTCCGGGTGGTCTGGGCTCGGGCGCCGGCCGGCAGTCCTGAGCGGTGGTGGTTGCGTGCCTGGGTTGCTCCCTTCTCCGGTGTGGTTGAGGATGGCTGGTGGTGGTGGCATGGGGCCAGCGATGCTCAAGGTTGGCTATGGCCTGTTGTGGATCCCGGATGCCAGAGCAGCGGCACTGTGCGGTGGTCCGGCGGGTCTACCTCGGTGTGATGAGGACGGCTGTCGTGGTCGTCGTTGGTGGACGGGGAGGCCGGCGGTGTCCGGTGCCACCTCTCTGCAACATTGATGAGTGTGTCTTGCCTTCCTCTAGCAGTGAACTCACCCGGCAACCTGCTCCCTGGTCATGGCTCCGGTGGTTTGGGTTTTGTTCATGGACGGGGCAAAATCTCCGCACGGCTTGCCGATGCTGGAAGCGACGACGCGTGTGGGTGTCGTATCCTTCTTGGGGGCGCTGCCATGGTCCTTATCATGCCCCTTCTCAAGCGTCGTGGGAAACCCTTGTTCCGGCCCTCCGGCACAGGTGGCGGCGGCTTCACGACGTTGTTTCCTTCATGAAGGCACCACCTTGGCTACTCGCAGAGTCCTCAGAGCTAGAGTTTGGAGCGTCTCGCTTTTGGTGTGGGTTGCCCCTCAGGACGTGGGCCTCCAGTATGCTATTAATGCCATCACGACGCATCCTACGCGTCTTCTTCTTCAGGTCTAGTTAAGTCCTGCCACCCACTTGCTGACTTCTCTAGGCACTATGTGGTGGGAGGTACATTGATCTATTTTGTTCTGTAGTCGTCGGTGTGGCTTGGATGTTGCTTGCAATGGTAGTGACGCGGCCTGTTTGCTCGGTGCCCCGTCTTCTTTGCATTCTTGGCTAGGGATAGGGCAAGGCAAGTTCTCTCATTCTCGTTTGTAGTAGGTGTGGTTCCAGGGATTAGTGTGGTGTGTTTTGCCTTTTGGCATTGCACTCAAACCATGGATGGGTCTCTTCACCCTTTCTTCTATAAATATATGATACGCATGCTTGTGCGTATTGGAGAAAAGGTTGCTGCTCTTTGATTTATCTCAAGTCTGATCGCTCCATACTCTCTACTGTTCTGCTTCGCAATATCATTCACCACTTGCTTTGAATCAGATGGTATGATGAAATTGCTCAACATTAGGTCCTCGGTAGTGAAACACTCTCTACATGCAATAGCCTGAGTGTCGCAAAATCCACTATCCCTGAAGACCGAACTTCCAATGTAGTTACCAGCCTCACCACGACACACTGCCGCAGCCGCTCCTCGAACTTGAGATTTTGAGATCCCAGCGTCCACGTGTACCTTTGCAAAACCCTGGGGAGGCGCCTTAGGCCCTGTTTGATAGCAAAGTATTAAAAAAATGCAGTACCGGCAAACTACAGTAATTTTGCCTGTATGCATAAAATGTTTTTAACATAACAAAGTATTTTAGAGTATTGAAATAAAATAGCACCTGTTTGGATGTGGTCTGCGTAGTGCTATAAGTTTAGATGGCTAGCTATTAGCGCTGCAAACACTCAGCGCCTAGCTACCCGTTGCATTCAACTAATCGGCCATGCAGATGCAGCTAGCTAGCATATACCTTACCGTTAGCAAGGTAAACACGCGTAGCTGGCTTCTTAACAATTTCTGATGCATTATTCTCGGCAGCTAGCTGGGTAGCCTTTACCATACGCGTGCATAAGAACAGGAGCATGCAAAAACTGAACGTAGCCGATGGAGAATCTACAGAGCGGCGGTGGACGCAATAGTGTGGGAGCGAGACGAGCTTGTTGTGAATAGCTAGCGACTCGCTTATTTCTTTCGCCTGCTCCGTTTTTAAAGAAGAGATCCAAGGTCCTTTTTTTAATGCAAAAAATTACTACAGTTTTGAGAATAGTTTAGTTTTAATAACACGGTATTTAGTGCTAGCCAAACAGGTCACAGTAAATAAAACTATGATATCTGAAAAAACGGTAGTATTTTTAGAATATTTAGAAAATACTTTGCTATCAACCAGGGCCTTAGGCTTTGTGGCCACGTTCCTTGACAGAACTTGCTGCTGGACTGTTCTCTCTCTCTCTCTCTTTGAGCACTGGACTGTCTTCTCTCATTACGTTAGATTGTACGGAGAGAGCGAGAGAGAGTTGGGTCACTTGGTCAGCAACGCGAAACGAGGCCCGGCCCGGCCCGTGGAGTAAACGCAGCCCAGAGGAGAAGCGGTCAAGGGGTCGCGGAGCCCTTTATGATTTCTCCGCCCACTCTCTCTCGCTCGCCTTCGCTCCCGTTCTCTCTCTGCCTCCCCCAACAAACGCGTGCGTCTCCTCCATCCCTCCCTCTCCCCGGCGGCGGCGGCGGCGGGCGAACACCGATCGATCGCGAGGTAATCTCACAACCGACCGCTCTCCATCCCTCCGCCTCCGCGTCTGAACGTGCGAACCTGGGTCTCCGCCGCCGACCGCGGACGTGTGTGTGTGCGCGCGCGCGCGCGTTCGAGCGAGGTTTGCCGCCGTTCTTATTTCCCATGGTTAATCTAGGGTACGGGGAGGGATTTCCGAGGATACCGCGGGATCCGTACGTAGCACGCGCCGTGAAGGGCCCCTCCGCGCGGGTCGATCAGATCCGCCCGCGTTCTCTGCGGTTCGTGATTGGTGGGGGCCGGGTTTGGCTCGTCGATGATCGCCGTCGCCTCGTCGGGGAGGATCGGACAATTTGGTTCTGGGGAATTCAGGCCGCGGTCTCTGGATGTGTAGCGATTTGTTACCGTGATTCATCTCCTCCGGTTCGTTGCTGACGGGATGGATGGATGGATGGGTGGGTCGGCATTTTTACCCGGTGGATGTGTGGCGATTTCTGATAGAAAAACGTCTCATCTTGATCTCTGCATGCACATGTGCATGTATAGCTTTTAAGCTCCCCTTCAACCTGGTCACTGATACGCAGTGGTTGTGAATTGTGATTCATATGGTCAAAAGGGCACATAATTTATCTCTTGGTGGTTCATGTGTACCCTTGCACATGGTGCACACCATATGCACGCCCCTTTCCCTTCCATGACGTGCCATCTTGTGTACACCGGATTGATTTTGTTCTGCTATCGTCTCATGGCGGATTGCGTTCGTTCATGAACATGCCTATGCGAATTGAGAGAACAGCCGTCTATGTGGATCCAGAAATCAGCCTCCTGTGTTGGTGGGCCTGCTCGCTTTCTGTCATGCCATGCGTTTGAATTTCGATACATGCATGTATACCCTGTGCATTACATTTGACGATCTACATCCTGTTTCACCATTGTGTAGCGGCAATGTCGACCAAGTGCATCATCGGTGCGCTGGTTGGGTCCCTTGGAATTGCGTACGTCTGCGACACGATCGTTTCTGACAAGAAGATCTTTGGAGGTGAGTACCATGCATGCTGTTACATAACATGCCCATAGGATGCCTGTGCCCCTAACCTCTTGGAAGAATGCATCTGACGCTGCTTGTTCCATTCCGATCCAGGCACCGTCTGCAAGATCGCGACAGACAAGGAGTGGTTTCAGGCCACAGACGCCAAGTTCCAGGCCTGGCCCCGTGTCGCCGGGCCGCCGGTCATCATGAACCCCATCAGCCGCCAGAACTTCATCGTCAAGGACCCCTGAATAGGCGGCACGAGCGGCATCTTCCTCCCACAGTGGGAGCAGCCCAAGTTTCTTTTCTAGGGTTTTGAAGTTCCTAATAAAAGGGACTTGAAAGTCAGGGTATACTATTCTGTTTTACGAATTTCAGTTTCCGTGAGCAACTTTGGGGGGCTTTACCGCTCGCTCACTCGCCTTTCGATGAACTCTGTTCCTCGGTGAAATTATCCACCAGGCAGTAAAATAACTGCATTGTTGTTTCCGCATTGTTTATGCTGTGACGTTACCCAGTCTACTGTTTTTGCGTGCTAGTGTATCATAGTTATTTTTGCTTGATTTATGCTGCCTTTGCACCCTGCCTGTGCTGCTTTTATTGCGCAATTGCATACTTTTACTGACAAGAATATATCAGCTGATGTTTAGATTGCATAGGACGCTGGGCTCAGCTGGAGTTTTGCGATATATCAGTGCCCATTGAAGCCAACTATGGCCTAACACTAATACAAGTCTTTGCACCTGCGGGCTTGTATGTAGAGAACATGTTTTTCCTTTTTGGGCAGAACTGTGCGAGCAGTTAATTTGCGTTTTGAACAATGTACTCCCTCCGTCCGGAAATATTTGTCATTGAAATAGATGTATCTAGATGTATTTTAGTTCTAGATACATCTATTTTCATCCATTTTGATGACAAGTATTTCCGGACGGAGGGAGTAACACAATGGGCACGAGCCATTCACATGAACCTGATGTTCTTGGTCCGCTGAAATGGTTTACATGCCAATTGTAGTTAACATCAGCATCTTGACACAACAGATTTCTGTAAAATTAGGAGCATAATACATGCATGGAGCAGATAAAAATGATGGTAACGTGAACATCAGATTTCTGAATGTGTTTGCCTCCAGATGGGAAGCACATCGAAACTGCAGTTCCATGCCAATGTCAAGAAATTTGGTGGTGTGGCACAATCAAACAATGGCAAAAAATCATCAATGAAGTGAGCAGGTCCTCCTTATGTTGATAGAGGGGAAGATAGAGCAGGGATTAGATATGATAGGAAACGAAAGCTTCCGCCAGAAAAAAAAAAGAGGAATTGGAAGCTCAAATGTAGCACAGAACTTTTTTAGTCGTCGCAAGTTCTCGGGGAAAAAAAGATATCCCTGAATCCTCACAGAAGCGCTGAACATATGGCACATGGCTACCAAATGCTAATGTAATTGACTGGATCTATTGCTTTTTTCTAGGTCAAATGCCGAGCCAAATATCTGCGTGCAAATCTTTGCTTAGCTTCTCTTTCAAAAATTCTCAATTCCAAGACAAACCTGGTTGACAAGCGAAATGTGACAGGAACTGTTTCGATTGGCTAATGCAAAAAGGCAAATGTGCTCAGCTACGCACTCTCAGAGAGACGGTCAAACAGAGAGAGGGAATATAGTTTGCTCATCGTCCCGACCCAAGTGGGCTCAATGGTCGCATTGCATTTAGCATAGTTTTGGTACAATATATACAACCTATCACTCGGCTCGCAAAACCCCATCTGAGATCCTATATGGCAGGCACATTTCAGAACCCCACGTCACTTGGGATTTCAAGGTGTTGATTCATGTAAAGTTCCTGATCTGGCATGATACATGACACACTATCCACAGGAAAGCACAACAAACGGCCTGCTTGTATGCAAAATAACTATCTGCCCTGCAAACTACAGTTAAAATGTCAAGACGTTTTTGTTCTCTGCAAATCCATGCTGGTACAGATAATTGTGAATTTTGTACTGAATTAATTTGATCTGAGGTTTCGGAGCGGTGCTCAGCTCAACCCAGCCTGATCAATTTCCTTTTAACCCCGTTGTCCCTACTGCTGACGCAATAATGCTTCCAGGTCCATGTCCAGGACTTCTATCCCTCGACGGTATCTGATGACAAGCCTACATAGAAAATATATTACCGGTTGAAATTTTCTCAATGATAGAGTTAGTAGTTGGAAACGGCTAAAAAAGCCAACATAAGAAGTTAGAGCTGAAGGAAATGGTTTAATCCTTTGCAGTACGTAATTTAGTGAAATGCGTTTAATATTTATGCAATTCTAGGCAACACCTGATTCTAAGAGCATCTCCAGCCGCGCCCCCAACAAGGCTCCCCAGGCGATTTTTCGGCCGCCGGCGCCAAAAAATCGGCCCAGTCGCACCCCAGGGGCCCATTTTTCGCCGGCTCGGGCCGAAATTGGCACCGGCGGAACCAACCCGAACCCGGCACGCTAGGGGGCGCTCGGGCCAGCCGCGTCAGCGACACACGCCCGCCTCGTCTTCTCCCGACGCCTCGGTTTCCCGAGGGGAATCAATGGCAAGGTTGCCGCCGGTCAGCTCTGCCATTGATTCCTCACGGGCGGCGCGTCACGGGGCGGCGCGCCGACGCGCGCCGACGCCTCCCCTTCCTCGGGCGCGTACACACGGACGCGACGCGGCTATATATGGTCTCGCTCGCCTGCGTTGAGTGCCACCTCTCCACCTCTCCCGAGCGCCGCCGCCGAGCTCTTCTCCCCACCCCAGCCCTCCCTCTCCCGCCGATCTCTTCTCCCCAGCCGCTCCTCTCCCTGATGGCCGAGCGTTTCCCCGGAGACGAGGCGGCGGCCAACGGCTTCGGCCGCCGTTCGCTCCGCGAACAGGAGTCCTGGCTCCTGTTCCAGGCGAACATCCCGGCGCCGCCGGACATGCGCGCCGGGCCGACGGGCTGGAGGCTCAGCAATGGGGGAGTGCCCATTCCCCCGTTGCCCGACGCCGTCACCAAGCCATCGTACTTCGCCGACGAGGTCGAGATCGCGCGCGCCTCCCTCCCCGACGCCGAGCTCTCCCTCCCCTAGTATGCCGTCGACAACACCGCGGCTTGGGCGGCGTACTTCGAGCGCCGCCAGCAGCAGCGGCTGGCGTCCACCAACGGGGCGCCGGTGGTCGGCGGCCTGAAGAAGAGCGAGGGGCGCCACCTCTGGTGGGGCGTCCCCGGCCGCACCCTCGACGGCGTGTTGACGCACCTCGAGGGCGGCAACAACCCACCGTTGGCGTACCCCCCGGCGAGGACGGCCGCCCCGGCGCACCGCCGACGCGATGGGCAATGGGCGCCAAGGAGGTTCGGCTCCTCCTCCTCTTCTTCCTCGTCGCGTTCTTCCTCCCAATCCTCCGACACTCCATCGCTGCTCGGCGTCAAGGCCGAGCCCGCGGCGGAGACGCCGCTCGGCCGACGTACACGCAGCGCCGGCATCGTCATCAGCGAGGGCGGCCGGCGCGCCTCCTCGTCGGCTCCTCCCCCGCGCTTCGTCAAGCCGAAGACGTAGTCGGGTCTCGCGCCGGTGAAAATGGAGCCGGGGCTGGGTCCAGTGAAGACGGAGCCAGGGCTGTTGGCGCCGGTGAAGACGGAGCACGGCGAGGTCGAGCTTGACGACGATGCGGCCCTTGAGTGGGCATGCCAAGACTCCCTGAAGATGGTGAGGGAGCGCAAGCGCGCTGCCCTGCAGCGCTTCGCGCAGCGCCGCCCAGGCCGGAATGAAGGCGGTGTCGTCATCATCGACGACAGCGACGACGACGACGACGACGACGACGCGCCGCCGCCGCCGCCACCAGCCGGGGAGGGGTCCAGCAGGGGCGCCCGAGTCAAGGAGGAGAAGACCGATGATGGCGACTTCTCGGCCTTCAGCAAGTTTTTTCGACTAGTTTTTATATGTAATGGCATGTTTTAGCCCAAGTTTGCGAATATAAAAGCCTAAATTTGCCGAAAATTGGCGTGTTTCAGCCCAAGTTTGTCTAATTTTTTCCCCCACGCCTGGGACCGGCCCTGGGGCGGCGGCTGGGGGCCAACTCACCCCAGGCCCACTTTTTGCGCCGGGTCACCTCCAGGCGGCGATTTTAGGCGCCCCCTGAGGGGCCAACGGCTGGAGATGCTCTAAGATACCACCGTTTGCAGTACCTTTAATATATATAAATGTAGTGTGCATTATCTTCCATTTCAAACAAAACTTACCAAAGGATGGAGTTATAAGTCCGAAACTGCTTGCCAAAAACTAATAAAATACAACAGAGCTTAAAAGTGTTGGAGCTAGAATTTAAGCTCCCAGAGGATTTATTGGTCCTCCCATACTAAAAGGTTGAATGAGGGCCTCAGCTTCTTCATTACATAAGCACCAAGTGATATCCCAGATATCACGCCATAAGTGAACATTGCTTCACTCTACTCTCCCAAATCCACTTTCTAGTATGAAGTGATATGCCCTCTTAGCTCTTTTGGAGAATGTATAGATTTCCCAGCATCTTCCTCGATAGAAATTCTATTCTTTCTTTTCCTCCATTTGCTTTTCTATGGAAATAAGCAGTGTCCCCGTAGCAGCCACTCTTTTTTTTAAAAGAATATATTAATACCGCGAAGATACCAATTACACCCAGCCTCTACACCAACAAGATATCACGAAGACATCCAGGATGCACACAGCCCGAAAAGTAAACAAAAAAGAAAAAGAAAAAAACAAAGGTCTTGCCACAGTGATCGACTTCTCTCAGCAGCAGCACACAAACCACCACCAAAGACAACACCTGGAGAACATGTCTCCAAAAGTGACGCCTTCAAGAAGGAAAGAGTGCACAAACATCGTCGTCGCCCGATCCAAAATCATAGGTTTTCACCTTGAAGAAAGACCGAACACTCAAAACAATGCCTTCAGCAAGGCAATTGCCAGGCACAACCAATGAAGGTCATACCTTAGGTTTTCACCCTGAAAGTCACGTCTCGGCATCCGAGGAGTGCCACCAAAAATGAAATCCCCCGGTGTTGTCGCCCCCACTTGTCACTGCTGCTTCGTAAAGTTACCAAACACATGGCTGACACCATCGCCTCTAAGGCCCCCTCCGTGTGACTGGCCCTTCAATCGCAGCCATCACAACTTTCTCCGCCGCTGTCTGTGCCATGGAAATTGAGATACCGACATATCCCATGGTGTCAACAACCAACAGAGCTTCGCGCCGCGCCCTCATGGAGCCACGTTGGCTGATATGGACGCGCACAACCGGATTCTATTTGATCCAGATATTCTTGGGCAGTAGTTCCGGAACACGTTGATGGCCAGATCGAGGAGGACCAATCATGCAGATCGTCGTCGTGATGGGATAAGAGCACAAGGACCGTCAGCACACCGAAACCATCGCCGCTACGGCGGAGGACACGGTCCGCGATGCCCACAGCCCGAGCACCACCACCGGCGGTTTCGGTGGCAAGCCGTCAGATCCATGATCAGATCTGAAAGAGGAATATTTTCAAATCAAACATCTGACTGGGGACGCTCGCTGATCTAATCGGATACGATTGCCACGAAGAGCATCGCCATCGGAATCTGCAACGATGTCGAGAATCTGCGACGGCCACCTTCGATCCAGAGGACCGTCCATGGCACAGCCCATAAAGCCACCATGGAGGACGTCGCTGCAGAAGAGATCTTGGTGCTGCCCCGGCTCCATGGCGAGCAGCCACTCTACTGTTCACCTCCTCTTTTCTGCCAATATAACTCTTCCATCTCAGAAATTTGGACCAATTGAGCTTCCAATTCATATCTTAGCTAGCCCATTCAGAGATTTTAAGCTCCCACGAGATATTATGCTCCTCCTTGGGATTTTACGCTTCTTTCTTTCTTCTTCCTCTCTCAGCTCTCAAGAACACACACACACACACACACACGCATGCATGCATGCATGCATGCATGATGAGAAAGACTTAACGTGGGGCGCGCGCACACACGCACATCAAGGAAGATGCCCAACTAGCTTTGTCACGACACACCATCAAATGTAATAAAAGACTGCTAATGCTTTGATTAACCCTCAAATATTTGTTGTTGATTTAGGGCTTTTTGTTTATTTCACATTTCTAGAATCTGGGTACATTTGCTCAGTTTGCACGGGCAATAAGAAACTAAGATTGAACGTCTTTCCATTAAAAATCTTTGGCTCCAAAGATATATTTATAAAAATGAAATTTGAACCATTTTTAGGCCAATATTATGCTATCCACTCAGGTGTACCTTCATTCGCACATCTGAATATATAGTAGTACTGCAGATGCCAAACAACAAGGTATAAAAGTGATCAAAAAGATGCAATATATATATACCTTCTTGAGCCTACAAATGCAATATCCACAATCTGACTGTAATGCATCCATTGAAAAGTCTTCAGAAGCCTGTAAACATACAGTCCACAGTTAGTTGTGAAAATGGTTTTTTTCCCTTTTTTGCGAGGGTGTCAAAATGAATTCGTCTAGCCCCATGGAGCAACCCAGCCGAAAGAATCAGATCGGTGCGTCCTAAATCGTTGGCGCCTCCATCAACTACTCCGCCTCCGGTCCCGTCGGTGCCACCGGCCTACCGGCCTACTAGAGCATAGAGCATCTCTAACAGATTTTTACATTGCACAAAACCTGTAATAGATGCAATTTTCTTTTACTCAAAGTGATATAAATAGGGCACCATTGCATCACTTGGGCCCCTCGAGCAAAAAACACGCAACCCCAACTGCCGTGCAGAACGTTCCCGCCACGCGCCGTCGGCCGCCGGACCCCATGGACGCCTCATCACCATGGCTGTCTCCGTGGTGATGTAAATTTTACATCATCTATTGGAGTTGATTTTTTTTTGTGATGTAAATTTTACATCATCTGTTGGAGTTGAAGGTTTTTGATGATGTAAAATTCACTTTTTTGATGATGTAAATTTTACTCAAAACACAATTTGATGATGTATTTTACATCATTTATTGAAAATGCTCAATGTTCAATGTTCAAGGAGACCGGCACCACCGCATGCATGCTGGTGCTGCAGCTCTGGGCGACCTGCAGTTGGCTGGCAGAGGCCGCAGGTTCCCCTGCTGTTCCACGTGTGTATTGGTCACTCGGGGAAGCCAAGGCAACTGGCTCCGCCGCATGCGTCTGCTCCACTGTTTCGTTTTTCTTTTCTTTTTTTTCCTTTTGTGATTTTTTCCTAGAGGGTCCCACCTATAAAAAGGAATAGAATGTCTAATTTTTCTTTTTTTCCACTGGGCCCCACATGGAGAGAGAGAGAGAGAGAGAGAGAGAGAGAGAGAGAGAGAGTCCTATCCAAATCGCAGCCTAACCTGAGGGGGATGCACCCATAGGTCAAATACCGTCTTTGATGGTGTCCGCCTCAGCATCCGATCGCGGCAGACCAACTAGAGACATATTTTGACCGATATGGGATAGTTGAGGGTGTAACATCAGAAGGTTATGTGTGAACCACCAAATTTCTTCAAGGTTGTAAAATAGAATTTTTCTGTTAAAAATATGCGGCCGAGTATAACCTTTTAACATATCATATATTCAATGTGTTCATTCCATATTCTTAATATGTAGACACTTTCTACATTCATATCTTGACACTATCGACACCAACGTTTGACACTGGAAAAAAAGTATGGTATGCATGTAATGCTGTTTGGGCAAATATCCATATGTACCCGCCCGACTTCCATGCATGGAGTATTTTTATCCCAAAAAGGAGGATAACCATTTATTTTTGCAACTACGGAGCCCCCTCCTTGCGCATCGTTGAGCACCATAATTCTTGTTCGCTTTTATGTGGGGAATTAGTTTGCCATAATCTTTACATTTTAGATGAGAAATCATAAAAGTAACTGACATATAATACATATATTTGTTTATGTCATTTGCACGCACACAAGAAACCATGTATTAATCGAAACAATGTATTGTTCGGACCACACATACAAGTATTTAGACTCACCTGAGAAATAGGCACACATTTTTTGGAAGGTTGGATACAGAGAGGGTGCTTGGATCCAAGGGACTTATTTTAGTCTGACTAAAAATAGTCTCTTTAAGAGGCTAAAGTTCCAACCCTGACTAAAGAGGGGCTAAAACTAGTCTTGAGACTAAATTTTTTTAGTCAGGGGTACTCCTACTAAAATATGAATTAGTCATCTCTCTCCTCATTTAACTCCTCTCCTTTAACACATACAAGTTCTGGATTGGAGGGTTTGAAGGATAATAAATGCTCATTAACTTGATTTTAGTCTCTTTAGTATTTGGATCCAAGTATGGGTGAGGTTAGCAAGTTTTAGTCTCACTACTTTTAGTCATGGGACTAAACGTATCCAAGCACCCTCAGAATTTTTGTGCTAACGCATTTATGTAGAGTATTGGTAGTATATGCAATAAATCAGCAGTAGCAGTATTAATTTTTGGTAAAGGACATTTTCATTCAAATGCTACCGTATGGCAAATACTCCTTCTGTAAAGAAATATGGACGCATCTAGTGGGCGGCTGTTGGCTGGCTTGCAATATGTGGCAGCCTTCTTTATTAGGAAAGATTATGTCTCCATGCTAATTTAGGAAAGTTTGTGTCCTTAAAAAAAATCTCAAACACACTTAGTTCCATTTGGTTCCCCTGTCTGTCACTTGTATGCATGCACGTGATCCCATGGTCCACCTAGTTTGCATGCATGCATGCTCTGCGGGTATAATTAGGATGATAAACTGTTGTGGGATCGCATTTAATTCGCATATCATTTTTTTAAGTCGTAACTTTCAAACCGCACACCGAAATTTAGATCCGTTTTCACTGTTGGAATCCTCGTGGCATGCTCTTCGAAACTAGATCACGCATGGGTATGTTCTGATGAGCTTTTCTGTGTGCACCTTTGTCCCATGTTTTGTGCAACTGCCTAGTCGTCGATGTGCAACTACCTAACAGTCCATGTGCAACTTTCCCTATACCCACGGACGTGCAGTTTTCGCTGATGGCACCTCCATCCCAAAACTACCCTCTACTAGTGAGATGTGCAACTTCGTCTGCTACCCATGCCAGCTGCCTAGTAGTCAACGTGCAAGTTCTCCCTATCCATGGATGTGCAATTTTCACTGTCTACGGTCAGGGGCGGCGCTAGGGGTATTCTTGGGTCTTCATGTGAATACACATGATTTTTTCCAAAACAGTGTTGATTTTTATAAAACAGTGATAAATTTCGAAAAACAACAATGATTTTGGCAAAATGAATACACATGAATACCCGGTTGCAAATTCCTGGAGCCGCCACTGCTACGGCCTCGGCCAACTACCTAGCAGTGAACGTGCAACTTCGAAGGCTGCCCCAACCAACTGCCTAATAGTGATTTGCAACTTTCGTCATACCACATGGGTGCGTAGATTTCCCTACTAGCACCCCCCATCCAAACCGTTCCTACTAGTGAGATGTGCAACTTTAGCGCCCCATTTATATGCAACTTTTCACAACCCCTGTGAAGTTTTAACCATATATCCCTACAATGAGATGTGCAACTTTGTTCGTTGCCCCGGCCAACTGCCAACAGACTATGTGCAACTTGGTGTGTTGCCCTCGCCAACTGAAACAACACTTCCATAAGTAGGGGAGAGGAAGGACTTGCACATCGACAACTGCTAGTCAATTGGATGGAACCAAAGGCTAAGTTGCACATATCGTTTGTGGGGTAGGTGGGCATGGTCAGGGGCGGCGCTTGGGGTATTCTTGGGTCTTCATGTGAATATCCATGATTTTTAGAAAACAGTGTTGATTTTGGCAAAAGAATGACAATTTTCGAAAAACAACAATGATTTTGGCAAAATGAATACACATGAATACCCGGTTGCAAATTCCAGGAGCCGCCACTGGGCATGGTGTGCTAGCAGTGAAAGACTACACATCAACGAGTAGGGAGGGAGGTTGCACATCGAGTACTAGTAGTTGGATGGGTAGTAGACTAGTTGCACATCATAAAAAGTCGGTTGTCATAGTTGCTAGGTTGCAATCTCATAAGAAGTTGGATCATGCAGCTCCTAAATTGGTTTTGAAAAAAGTTGCACAATCCAGTACTAAAAGTTGCATCATGTAGTAATATAGTTGTACAATATAGCACAAAATTTGGCATTAAAAAAACAGTGAAATATAACCACGCGGGATCTAGTTTTGAAGATCTCGCCACGATGATTCCAATGATGAAAACGGATCTGAATTCCGGTGCGCGGTTTGCAAGATATGACTTTTTAAAATTTTGAAAACCCGAATAAATACATGTGCATATCCATCAAACATGGAATTAAATGGGATGTCCATTCCACATGACCATCCTGTTAGTAGGTGCCACGTCACATAAATAAAGACAAATTTGGTTCACAAGACTGCATGTATGCGTGTGTATAAGAGTCTACATCACACATAATAGTGCGCGCGCACTTTTAAGATCTTAGAAATAAATATTGAGTTGATGCCGTAGTAGTATTAATTACCTGTAGTTAGCGGAGTTCCAGAAGCAAACAGTAATGTCACCCCCATGTCGTGAACCTACTGCAACTATCAGGGGAAGTTCTGGGTGGCAAACGACAAGGTCAACAGCCTTCCAGCATAAAGAAATTGCATGAACACACGTCTCTGTCTGCAAATCCCATACCTAATTGAACACGTACGAATGGTAAAAGAACAATTAAAACTGCAATCAGGAAGCATGTTATTGAGTGGAGATTGATGACATACCCTTAAACCACCGTGCTGACCAGAGGTAATAACATTTAGTGGGTGACTATCAGTGTACATGTAGTCACACACGTCCCTGTGACAGTTCGGGGGCATTATTGTGATGAGAGGCTTGGAAGAATTAATTGACCAGACCTGGAAAGTTTAGTTAATTAAATTCAACTCTATGACCAGTTCGGGGGCATTAAGTTGCCACTGAAGACGAAATGAAGTAAAAAGAAACAAGTCATTTACGTGGCTAACTCCGTTGTGTGCAGCAGCAAATGTTGTTGTGTCCTTGGGGTTAAACTTAAACCTGAACCGAGTGTCAGGTCCACATGCTGAGCCCCCGCTAACTCTCTGAGAACATTTCCAGCCCATATCCCAGTCCCAAAGCCTGATGGGGTCCTCACAATTATCCCATACTGCTAGCGTTATTAGCAATGGATAGGTTGGGTGAACCGCCAAAGCTTTGATATCAGCAGAAAAATAAGCTCGGAATTTCTTTATCTCTGTCATTGTAACACACGAGTACACACGGACGTTCCCATAGACTTCCCCAGTTACAAACCATTGCTTCCGTGCGATCCACTTTGCCGCATGAACCTGGACAAAGTCATCTACTATCTTCTTAACCCAACTTTGTTTCTCATTGGAGTCAAACAACATCACTACTGTCTGTTGATTCATTAAAGATAGAGCCTTTATTAGCTACGTCTCAGACTATTTGAAGGAAAATAATAATAATGAGCTTAACATGGTCAATATGAACACAGAAGATGTTAAATGACAGTTACCTGTCTCCAGTAGTCCCAAATGGAAACTTGTCTGTGGTTCTCAACTACCAAAATCCTGTAGTACGTAAACAAGGCACAATGAAAGCGTGAAAATATATTTCAATATGACATCATGCATGCTAGTTTTGGCTCCATCACTACAGAATCTACTCACCATGGTTCCATTGGATGTACATCCATTGTATTCAACGAAAAAGATTCCTTGGTGAATATAATCTGATTGATCGATTACCAACAAACAACAAAATGTAGCTAGGTTAGCGAAACCTCCAATGCTAGTTGTTACAATAATCAATATATAATGTGGATTGATTTTAATTTGGTGGGTTACTTGAGCAATCCAACTCGCCTTGGGTGTTATTGTTGTCGCACTTTGTGGGCAGACTGCACCCGTCAGCATCGTCACATGCATCTGACACCCCAGCTCCTCAACTCGCTGCGGTAAATCCACCTTGTCCATCATATCATCCCAGCTAAAGGATGCCATGAAATTTTCGAGCGCAGACTTGCTCTCGGACGTGATCATCAGTATATAGATCATCTTTAGCAGGCGCTGCTGTTGCTCCACCAATGTGATGCTAATTCCACAAGTGGACATTGGATCCACAAGTTCATTTTGTTCACACAAGTACATACCCTTGAACTCTGGTATAATACAAAAGCGAACATATTGATCTGCCTTGCTGGTTAGGTTCAACGGGCAACTGGTTTGCTTGCCGGCCTCAAAGGGAAACTGGAGCTTGAGAGGGTGGATATCCAGGATCTTACTATCCGTAAACCCAAGGTGTATTGTCTACAAACAACACATACCCAACACATGTGGCAATAGGATAAGCTTTTCAGGAAATTATATGGCAGTTATATCTCTAGTTATGATATCGATTTTCACTAATGTTGTAATACATGCACGGGTCAAATTAAGTGAGGGGACTATGACAAGTGCATACTTAAAATAAATTTATTATTATTATTATTATTATTATTATTATTATTATTATTATTATTATTATTATTATTATTATTATTATTATTACCCATGCGTATGCTCGATTTCCCTACATGTTAGGTGGTAACCAACCTCAGTGCTTGTCTCTTCTATTCTCTTGAGTGCACTAACTCGCTTTGGTAAGAATGGTCGTCCATACAAATTCATCAACTTCAGCTCATACTCCAACTTGGCGATGAGAGGCATTTCCTATTATAGAAAACATGGAAGCAAAGATTCTAGAAATCAGTAGTAGTACATTTGGGTTTATCCTAAGTCAAACTTCTCTAAGTTTGATTAGATTTATAGAAAATATATTAACATCTACAACGCCCAATAAATACATTATAAGCATATGTTTTATAATGAATCTAATGACAGATTTATTGAAAATATATTAACATCTACAATGCCAAGTAAATACATTATAAGCATGTGATTTATGATGAATCTAACGGATCCAATCTGGTGTTGTAGATTTCAGTTTGTTTTTTGTAATGTTTTCCAAACTTAGGGAGGTTTGAGTTTGGACAAACACAAAAGTACCACCATTGTGAAACAAATTTGGTATTGCTGCTTTGGTACACCCCCTGTGAGCTAAATTCGCAATCAGCAATGCCTACAAGCAGCCCCTAAAAAAAGCATTGCATGCAAGCAGAATTGAACGAGATTGAAGTGAAAGTTCAGAATCGGTGGCTATTGATACATGAATCAAATACTAATCAAATTTGCTTATTATATTGGTCCAAGATCTGTGTCATGAATGACATGGCATTACGTCCAGACCTAGTGTGCGTGACCTACCTAAGTGGGCTTCCGATGTTGCAGTTCGTTAGAGCCTGCCCCACTAACCGCCCTCGATGGCTGCACTTTGCCCTTCACGTGTGTGATTGCTGATAGGGTCTGTTGTGCGCATACAATTGAATTTGAATAATTTTGATATGATACATAATCACAACCATTGATTAATCATCTTTCAAGGGCCGCATCCATCAATCTGACGTCGTAAAAAAATCAGACACTAGTGATTGCACATGAAGTAATTCCAGGGTCCATGAGAAGCTACTCCTTTGTGTGCAAGAGACTTGGGAATTTACCCTGAACTAGGTGGGTGGGATGATGAGATAGAGGCGGATTAGGATCTAACTAGTGATCTAATTTTTACTAGTGATTAGATCAAGTGAAGTATGAAAATTCCCTTTAAAGGGGGGGTGGGGGTGAGGGTCTGGGTGTTCCGAAGCAGCTTCCTGGTCAGCTTAAGTCTTATAGGCAATATCGCTTCTTTCTCCATTTATTCATTCTTCTCTCTTCCTAGTCTAAGGAAACATTATTAATTGGCTGTATTAAGAGAAGGTTCACACGAACATATCATACCTGCACTTACCATTCGCCAAAAACAAAAAGGAACATGTTTTGGTCTGATTTTTCAGCAAAAAAGCAAGGCCATGCCACAATCTTGAAGGAAAACACTAATGGAAACTTAAACTTCACCCACTCCACAAGTGAATGAAGTTACTCTGAGTGATCGCACCTGTGCTATAGATGGACTCCTTACAACACCTCTGGCAGACCAGTTTGAAATTTCTTCTTCATCAAAGAGCATGAGGATGATATCCCATGTAGTAGGCCTATTCTTTGGATCATTGTTCATGCATTGTATCCCTATCTCAGCACATAATTTTACTTGTTCGAGGAGTATATGGCGCTCTGGTGTTGTTTCAAGCACGTTCATCCAACTTTCAAGTACCTGCAAATTTGACAAATATATGGAGTTCAAGTTTCAATGGTTGTGCTTCATTAGTTTAGAGAGGGGCCACCCGTAATGGTTGGATGTTTCTGATTACTGTGGTATTTCCTAGCCAATTTTACTATTTTTTTGGTTTGTGTTGTGATTTTAGTATATGATAGATAGATAGATAGATACATTACCAGAAGATTGATTACTATAAAATCAACATTCACGTCCTCTTCTTTGTGAATATGAATCTTATTTACCTACGTTTATCAATTGTGGCTTGCATTTTTTGCAAGAAACCTGTGCTTTGCGCTTGATATGCTCGCTGTATTGTTTTCAATCTTTTGTAAACTTTAAATATAAAATAATCATTTCCATGTATAGAACGCGCTGGGAATAAGAAGAAATGGTAATTACCTCCTCAACTTTGACGCTCCCCTTACACCCTGTCAGCACCTCTAGGAAAATTACACCTAGAACATATATGTCGGCTTTCAATGTTATTACTCCGCTTCCTATGAATTCTGGTGCCCAATATCCCCTACATGAGGATTGATGTGGTTTTATGAGTTAAGGAACAAAGGGTACAATGTAACAAAGCTGGTGGTATCAGACAAAAAGAATGGATTTCTAAAAAGGAATTAGCTTGCCTACCGTGATCCAACTATGTGTTCTGTGATGATCCGGGTTTGGTCTTCACCTAGGCGCCTTGATAGACCAAAGTCCGCAATTTTGGGCATCATATTACCATCTAGTAGTATATTTTGAGGCTTCAGGTCCATGTGAATGATACGCTGCTGATGAAGATAATGTACACCTTCACAAATGCCCTTAATAATCTGATATCGTGTTTCCCACTGAAGTCCAGAAGATGGATCTGTTTAGTGTATACACCAAAGGCATGTGATTCCTCTTATATTTGTTTGGGCAAGAAGACCAGAAGAAATACTGTAAACATATGTATTCAAGCCCGTGGAAGTTTATCTTCAGCACTATTATAGCCAAATAGCAGGCGACAACTGGCAGTAAGCGGACTACCTTTTTCATGATGAAGTATATATGTACAAAATTCAGCATTTGAAGAAATATGGACTTGCAACATACTATGCTATTGGCTTACCACCTAAAAATGTAGTGCCACTCTTTTTTTGCATACTATTCACTTTCGCCTAATGGCAAAAAGAAGAGTGCCTAGAGAATATTAATGTGCATCTTTCATTGTGGCATAGGGATGGAGCTAAAAAAAAGTAGTGCTCGGCAGAGTATAGAACAAGAGAGTGTGCCTGACTCTACCTGTAATATAGTCGGCGAGGCTTCCTTTTGGTAGGAACTCAAAGCAGAGTAATCTCTGCCGTCGTTGTGCCCAGACGGTTGCTCCATTGAATTTGCCCATTACTTGTTGAGTATCGGAACAGTATCCTAGAAACCGTACTGTATTTTTGTGTCTGACCCCTAAGAGAGAATCAACCTCACTTTGGAAATTCTTCTCATCAATGACAATAAGGTCGAAAAGCTTCTTTACTGCGACCATCCCATTTCGAAGCTCTCCCTGCATTTCAAGGCTTAAACAACCTTAGGTGTGCAACATCATCTATAACAGATAAATTGGCAGGACAAGCATTCATAATTATGCACATTAATTACCTTGTAAACTTCTCCAAACCCTCCACTGCCAATTTGTTGACCTTCATGGAAGTTTTTCGTGATGGCCTTCAAAAGCGAGAGAGGCAGGTCGATTGGATCCACGCTTTCATCATACAATGCCTTCTCCAGGGCAAAAAGTTTACTTTCGCAGTCAGGATCCATCTGGGATCAAGCTACTTTAGATCAAAGCGGTGTACCTCTCAGCCTGGATGTAAGAATAATAGTCCATAAGATGTTTCATCGCATTCAAGCTAATTAGCCGGGTATATATTTTCTGGGGGTGGCAGACTTGCAAAAAATAAATAATACGATCGACCACTCTCAAACAATAACAGAATCAGCAAAAAGGAACAAATTTCGACTTAATTAAGAGAGGGTTAATCAAACACTAACCAGGAGACGAGACCAAACTCTGAAAGGTTAGGGTGGTCCCTTCCTTGGGCAAACTTCTATTTCAGCTGAGTCAGGCTGCTGCTGGCTGGCCGAAATGGGGAGGAACTTGGTCTGGATTTCCCTATCTTTGGAGCCTTGTCCTTTATAGGCCGGGCATGATCGTTAATAAAGATATCTCTTGTCCAAATGAAATGGGGAGGAGCTGCTGGACTTGTGATTCTCTGGAGCAAGTGCACGTCAGGGACGTCGACGAAGCCGACCGGAAATAGCATGTTGCAACTTCTGTAATGCTATCCATGTATTCTTTTCCCAAAACCCAACCCAATAGGCGCATCGATCTGCTTGACAACGATTGTGTACCAATGACCAGTTCAAACAAACATGAGAGAGAGAGAGAGAGAGAGAGAGAGAGAGAGAGAGAGAGAGAGAGAGAGAGAGAGAGAGAGATGTAGGTAATACATTGTATCCTCAGATCCACCCATCCCAACATTGCTGCTTTTTTTAGTAGAGTCCACCTCCCTCGGGTGCTACTAAACCTTAGTTGACCAGCACGGATCCAATGTACTATACGGCATAAAGAGACGCAAGTGGACTCCTGACACATCCGCCATTTCTTTGACCTGGAGCGAAGAGGCAGACTCAACCAGTCGATGGGCCTTGGGGCTTGCTAATCGAGGGTGAACACAAGCATGCAGGATACAGTATATAGTCCTAGCTTAGTGATCTGCAAAAGTAATGTGTCGATGATTATGAAATCGTATATCATCTATACGACGGGCGCTTTGCCGCACCGGACGATTTTCATTTTTTTTGGGGAGTGTTTTCATGATTTCATGTTTTGCATGCTAGAGCTACGACTTGTTGCGAGCCTGCAGCGGGTTTACTTATGGCATTTATCATTTGTTTCTTTTTCACCAGCATTTTTTCGTTTGATTGAGAGAGAATACTTCTGCAGACATAGTATTTTTTTTATACAATCCAAAAAAGGGAACGGGTTCCACGATCAAGAGATAACGAAACAAGAACAAAGAAAAGAGTCTCCAGATATAGTAGTGATTCCGCAGTAGTCCAGAACCCGGGTTCAAACTTCGGTTAGCCCAATATGCGGCGGTCCTTGTGTACATACAAAGGCCAACCATTTCTTTTCGGCTTACACTGAGAACAAAGTTTTGCGTAGTCTCCCGGGAACTGAAAGATCATTTTGAGATCTAACCAGTTTCACAAATTCTCCTAGGAGTACGTGCTCCCATTTTCAATATAACCTCTTATTTGTATGTATTACACCTCATTATTATTTTTAATATATCATACTAATTATTCTAAGATGCCACAATATAAGTTTTACGGACAAAAAATCGTTGGAACCCTTATGCAATATAAGCTTTTTACGTTAAAAACATTATATGTGCAAATAAAATGAAATATATAGACTCAAGTGATTTATTTATAGAACTCGTTTTAGGGTATCTAATAATTATCAATTAATAAAAACCAACCGACTACTCCCTCCGTCACGGTTTAGAAGGCACAGTTAAATTTACGTGTGTTTCCAAAATAGACAAGATTTAAGGCGCCAATGCAATTACTCCTACTAGTATTGTATGCATGCGCCCTTGTGAATCCTAAGCTGCTCACGCGGGGTGTAGTTGATGCATGCATGGTGTGAACGTGTGTGTAAAAGTTATTTCTGCACGCATGGTGTGAACGTGTGTGTAAAAGCCAATGGAAACGTACGTAGCCCGTGGGTGGAAAGTTCCATGTTCCTATCGGGCTCTTCATTGTGCTATTAGGCTGGTCATAGTGGAGAGTAACATAAAATAGTATTATGCACATGATACTAGTGTACTCCCTCCTTTCCGGTTTATAGGGCGCTTATCTCAAAATTTTAGTTTTTCCATTTTATAAGGCTCAATTTGGTTGTTTCCCATCACATGTTCAGATTCCAATATGCATTAAATCATTGCATGCAAGTATTAAGAGAAAATTGACCAATGCATGTACTTTATGCATGCATGCATTGCAATTAATGCATTGATAAACATTATTTTTTGAGGAAAACAAGAGCATTAATTAGGTGCTTTTGCAAACTACAAAAAATATTCCACCACTCACCATCTATCTTGGTTGGTGAAATTTTTTGAATTGAGCCCTATAAACCGGAAAGGAGGGAGTATGATACTACATCCATAGTGCATAGTATCATAAACTAGTATTATAGATGGTCTCATTTATTGCCATGCATGACACATAGTAGCATAACATTTATTATGTTACTATATGTACCTATGCTACTACTACCCTATTTCTCTTCTTTAATTACCTGCCACATAAGCATGTTTGCGAGTCCCAAGTACATGATACTAGTTATGTTACCCCCACTATGGCCAGCCTTAACTACCCTGCTATTTTTCAGTCGCATGCAAAAGAAACTAGAGCCAATCATGAAACACCTTGGTTCCAGAGATTTCTGATGTACGCCTTCTAAACCGTGACGGAGTGAGTACTACTTGCTAGTAGCTTAATTGCAACGACAGAGTTGAATTTAGGAGTGGTAGGTACAAGTTGTAAGCTTTCGTTGACTCTGACTGTTTTTTTACAGGGAATCAGGCAATGTTTATCTTTTAAAACGGGAAATCAAGCAATCGGGTGCTGCGTATGTACGACTTTACTTCCCTCGGCCCGAGCTAAAGATATGTAAACCATGGGTTCATTCCGGTGGTTAATTATCATGGCTTTGGGACTCTCGGCCATTTGACCTCCTCTCCTCCCAGTCGATCACAGCCTCCCGTTTTCTCACCAAGGGTGGTCAAAATCTGACAGTGAAAACTGTAAACCGCCCCTCTCCATGGCTCTTTTCTCCTTCACGCCCTTTCATCCGCCACCATCAATAGCAGGAGCGCTAGTCGGAGCTCGCGCGTGAGAACGTATCCTGTGCACCGGCTGGATTGGTGCTACGGATGCGACGGTCGAATCTGGGCCACTGGATGGAGAACAGACGGGCTGGATGTTAGTACAAGGTGGCAGCTGGTACATTTCACACAATAGACCTTGCAAAGTTATTCAACTGCGCAAAGCAGTCCTGCCAATATCCATCGCCTTCTTCCTTTGCTCTGCTGCATTCTGTACCTGTACACCGGCGATTTGCAAGCTAGGTTAGCAATTTGCTCCGTCGCCTCTCTCCCCTCCCTCCCCTCCTCTGCTGGGCCACTCGACCTCTTCTTCCCCGTGTCCTTTACCTAGTTCCAGCTTCGTACAAGTGCCAACGCCCCTCCTCTCCCATGTAACGGCTGCACCGCCGGCGAGCGCGTACATGTAGCGCCGCCGTGCTTTAGGTCCGGGAAACGTCGACCCAACCATCGCAAAGAAGACGGCCACCTTCTGCAGCTTAAAGTATCAAGGTATGATCTCCTATTCGATTATCCAAACTATTACGTTTCTTCCCATCTGTCAGTTTCCCCCAACTGCACCATTGGGCTAGAAATCAGGCAAAGAGTAAACAGTATCCATATCTCCTGCAGGCTATAAAGTAAGATTTGTGCATGAATATAATGACTGTATGTGAAAAATGGTTACGAGCGAGTTAACGTACATGCCTGGAGTAAATCATATTTTGTTGTGTGTTCTTTTGATTCACTTTGTTGATCTTAAATCAAAACTGCACTTTGATGTCCAGTTGAACTTTCTGGAATCATTACTACTCCCTCCGTTCCAAAATAGATGACTCAATTTTATACTAACTTTAGTACTTCCTCCGTAAACTAATATAAGAGCGTTTAGATCACTAAAGTAGTGATCTAAACGCTCTTATATTAATTTACAGAGGGAGTACAAAGTTAGTACAAAATTTGGTCATCTATTTTGGAACGGAGTGAGTAGTTCTTATTCATATTTTTTTACTTTATGTTGTCCACTTTCTAACAATGCGTTAAAATTCCCTAAAAAATAATGCTTTAAAATCAACAATAATGATCTAGTGTACATGCCTGGCGTCATCTCACCAATTGTTGATATATGTAACTATAATAGGATGATTCTGAATAAGTATGTAAGCTAGTTAGAGGCTCCTGTGTCAGTGCTAATGATGTCCTGGAACACATGTAGAAAGGAACCCTGCTGCGATTTCACATCTTCGCTCAGTCGATCTTCAAGCGCTCCTGCTTGGCGACATTTATTTGACTGTTGATTTAGCTTGTACTCTGGCCAACCAGTGGCTATTGCTATTTTTGTTCAACTGTTTCTGAACTAAGTCCGATGCTTGCTCCTGTGCTTGCATCTGAGAAATCACACATTCAGCCTTCATTCTAGTAAAATGAAAGCAAGGGGTGTGCCTCTTTTTTGTAATGGCAGCAAGCAAGTTTTTTTTTTGAAATCAATATTCACCTACGATTTTAGGACTAAGAGCCATGATCTGGTACACAAATCTTAAGCAGTATCATTGAAATGGTCTTTGATAAAGTTTATTCTTATCCAACCAGATAATTTTGTTGACCTTTCATCTTGGATATGCTTCTTAAAATACATGATGTTCCTATTTTTTTCAGGTATTGTCCGCATGTTCAGCTGCAAGCTCATCTCTAGAGAAAACAAAAAGTTTGTTGTGCGGGCTAGTTGTAGATGCATCCACTTTGTCTCTTTCAGCCAGCCAAGATATCTCTGTTAGATGACGATGGGAGCTTGATGGCGCTCAAGCTATTGCTTAAGTCAGGATATATTGGCATCTGAAATGAAGTGTATCTCTTGTAGTAAAGTGACTGCTAATAGAGCACAGC